GTACCCATGATGACCTCATGCCAGGAGGTGCCTGGGGTGGGGACACAAGGGACCTCGGACACCACAGAGCCACTGGCTACTTGTACTCAAGAGAGGCGACTCATGGAGTTGAAGCTGACCCCCAAACCCATACCTAGAGGAAACCAGGCTGGGGAGGGGCAACCAGCACCCAGGAGAGGCACAGTGGGCTCCCACAGAGGACAGGGAAGAACCGAGAGAGGGAGGCCCCCCCTGGCAGGGCTGGGCTCTGTGAGCAGGGGAGAAGGCATTCTGAGAACAGACCGGCCCGGGTGGGAGAGGGAGGCGGAGCTCCGTGAGAACGCAGGTCCCAAGGTGGGCTCAGGGCCTGGGAGGCGGGTGCACACAGGCCCCGCTAAGGACGAACACACACCCCTCGCTCGTCCTGGGGCTGAGGCAAGTTCGCACCAATCCTCTGAGCAGCTTTGGGCTGGAGAAGCTCAGTAAGAAGCGGTTCCCCTCACTGCGTGCTCCCTGTGGCAGGTGCTTCTTCTTCTTCTTTTTTTTTTTTATTTATTTGCGAGAGAGAGAATGAGAGACAGAGAGCATAAGAGGGAGGAGGGTCAGAGGGAGAAGCAGACTCCTCGCCGAGCAGGGAGCCCGATGCGGGACTCGATCCCAGGACTCCAGGATCATGACCTGAGCCGAAGGCAGTCGCCCAACCAACTGAGCCACCCAGACGCCCTGGCGGGTGCTTCTTATTCATTGCACACCGAGAACACTCATCTTCCTTGATGCTTTCCTCCCTCACCTGAATCTCTGCCGGGCTCTGCAGGACAACCTGCAGGCTGGAGTGGGATGCGCAGGACCCTCTGGGCCCCCCCTGCAGCCCCCTCTCACCAGGGCAAAGAACCCCAAAGAGCCCTCCCATCCCAGAGCAGCCATGCTTTCTGTCAAGGCCTCAGGTCCTGAGGGCTGTCCTGCCCCAGGAAGACAGCCGGACCCGCTCCCTGCCCTCCCGGAGCCCACGACCGAGCCAGGAAGGTGGAGGGAGAGAAAAGCACCAGTGTCGTGAGGGGAAAGGAGGTGTCCTGGCAGGCCCAAGCCATGTGGAGTTTGGACCAAGGGTGAAGGGCCTTCAGTTGGGGGGGCGGGGCTGGGGAGGTGAGTACCCAGATTAGAAGGATGAAAGCTCATTTATTTGTAATTTTCTCTAAAGATGCCGTTGCTTTTTTGTTCTGTTTCACAGCTCTGGAAGGGCTTTGCTCCTTCAAATAATTCTCTGGTTTAAAAGATCATCTGTCGGGAGGAGAAATACAGCTGTTCTAGCAAGACCAAGGCAGGACTCCCAGCTCCTCGCGGTGTGGGGTGTTGTCATCTGAACTGTGACCTCCAGCAGGCAGGCAGAACCCATTCAGTTTGGGACCCTAGTCGGCCAGTGCTGTGAGGGACCTTGGAGGCCACAGAGCCACCGGCTGCTTGTACTCAAGAGAGGGGACTCCTGGAGTCAGAGCTCAGGCCAAGCTGGACTCCAGGCCTCTGGGTTCCTGGAGGGGCCCACGTTCTCCCTGCGGGCTCAACTCAGTGCTGCCTCACTTGCCTTTCCCAGACCCGTTCCCATTCCCAGGGGAGGAGAGAGCTGCCTCGAAGACCCTCTGAAAGGGAGAGTGAGGCCAGCATGTCTGCGGCTGGAGAGAGGTCTCTGTGGAAAGTGCTGACAGGGAGGGGCCGGGAGGGCCCGTGGTTCAGAACAGTCCGTCCAGCTCCTGAAGGAACAGGACAGGGCGCACCTGTGAGGCTGCCAAGAGGGGGCCGGGGCCTCTCAGGCAACTGCTCCCCTCCAGCTTGGCTCCTGTCCAGACCTATCATCAAAGCCAGGGAAGGCAGCCCTGACAGATGTCACCAACACTGAGCTGTCAGTCATCCCAGTGGGTCCCCACAGCATAGCAGGGCCATGTGTCCTTTGTAGGGCTGGAGAGCAAGGCTCTCCCTCATTTCCCCAAGCGCTAACCACCGACCACCCCTCCAAGGTACTTTCCAGACAGCCTCGCCTCTTGGGGCTTCAGCTCTGCCTTGAGTTTGGAGACTGAGCGGACCAGAGCCCCTCTGGCAGTGCCTGGGGCAACCATGTGGGTAAGAAAGTCCTGGCCCACCCCAAATCCACACATTCTAGTGGCTCCATATACCAGCAGTCTCCAAAGTGTGTTCTAGGGAACCCCCTTAGTGTCCCATGAGAGACAAGGGTATGAAATAAGGATTAAGTGAGCTCCATCAATAGAAGAATGAATAAACAAAATGTAGTATCTACAAACAATAGAATATCATTTGGCCATAAAAGGGAATAAAATTCTGATACATGCTGCAACACGGACAGATCTTGAAAACAGTATGCTTAGTGAAATAAGCCCAATAGGGAAGGACAAATACTGTATATTTCACTTACATGAGGTACCTAGAATAGGCACATTCATAGAGACAGAAAGTAGACTAGAGCCTATCAGGGGCTAGGGGGGAGATGATGACAAAGTTTGGGATATAGATAGTGGTGATGTTTATACAACGTTGTGCATATATTTATTTAATGCCACTAAATTGTGAACTTAAAGAAAGGGTCAAAATGACAAATATTATGTTACATATATTTTGCAACAGTAAAAAAAATCTTTTTTAAAAGAATAAGTGCCAAAATAAGTTGGAGAAGCACTCAGTTTTCAGAGTTAAACGTTTTCCTACTGCAGGACTTTTCGGAACCCTTATGAAGGGGCCCCCAATGGAGAAGATCATCGAACCCTTTGTTCTTAGAAGGCCCAGTCCTATTCATCATAGAGTTGTTCCCCAAATAATAAATCTGGCTTGTGAGGCTGCCTCTCACACCTGGAAGAGGCACCAAAAGCTTTGTCAAACCTGGATTTTTATTTAGAAAACTAAGGTCAACATAGCTACCCCAAGTGTACCAAAAAAACTTGCCTTTTTGTTTTATTTTCTTCTCCAAAAATGGAGATTTCTTTCTTGGGACTTGGAAGCATTTTGAGTTCTTTATTTAAGGAAAAAAAACAAGTGTGTGTTGCATGCATGTATGTGTGTGCAAGAAGGAAATTCTCTAGAAACTTCTGGTGTGGAGCTGGAAATGAAACCCCAGAGGATGAATGCATGTTGTCTGTGGGCCAGATGGTTTTGAAGGTGGTTTGGGGTGTGGGCTTGGCACAAGGCTAAGTTCAGGGCTCTGTCTGCCTCTTGGGGGAGGGGGCAGGCTTTGTCCTGTCCCCTGCTCCTGATGGTGTTGTCAATCAGCTGTCTTTGGACATGCCTTGGTTACAGGAAAGCCTGAAGGGAGAAATGTGGCTGCTCCAGGGCGTGCATCTCTCCTCCTGGAAGCAAGACCTCGGATACCTGCTCAGCTGAGGGGTGGGTGAGAGCCCCAGTCAGTTGCCCTGTTTGCTCATGACCTTTCCGTTAGATACCATATTTTATAGTCTCATGTTTTCTGGCCTGGGTTTTTTGGGGACCTGGGGTTGGTTAGGGGAATATTAGTTTGAAGAAAAAAGGCTGGATTCAAGCCCCAGCTGTGGGATAACTTAGGGTGAATCACGGCCCAGAAATGCAGTGTCAGGGACTGAAGCCAGAGGGGAAAATATTTATAACTGCCGGAAACATGATGAACCTGTCAAAAATACATGAAATCAGCTAAATAAGTTGGGAAGAAAAAAGCAAGGTCTTGTTTTGTTTTGTGAGTGTGGACATTTTTTTAAAAAATCAAGAAAGAGAAAAATAATTCCTCTACATACAACTGTCTTATGTGAATGATGTTTGGGGGAAATCGAGGAAAGTATCTGTTCCCTTGAGCTGAAGCAGGTTAGAGAGAAGGGATCAGCCATAGGAGGCAATTGGGAGAGAGATTATGAATTCAGTGGACCCAAGAGATCAAAGCCGACATAACCATGGGGCTACAACCCTCCCCCCGAGAATCTTGGGAGATTCGGAGTGATGCTGGTCTCCTGTGAATGTGGAGTGGGGGTGGAGATGTTTTTATTTATATCTGAGCAGGAGAAAGGAGCTCTTAGGATGGGTGGACAAGCACCTAGGCCACTGCTGTTGGGTAGGGCAGGGTCTCTCTGGCTGCCCACGTTCTGGGACTGAGAGAACTTGTGTTCTGGGAGGAACCAGGGGGGCCTGGGTGGATCTGAAGCAGAGGAAACTTAGATTGAAAAGGAACTGTTTCCACTGCAGCAAACACTAGGGTTCAGAAAGAATGTTGTTTCCTGGGCAGCCAGAGAAAGGGAACCTCGGATTCAGCCAGCTCCCCGGGACGCCAAGCTGGGGTCATAGAGACTGGGGAGGCATTGGAGACGCTAGAGGAGAGGAGGGACCATTCCTGACAGGTCCGATGGGCAGCTAAGGAGCCCGGACTGCGACCTAGGCACGGTGGGCCCAGGGGAGGGACTTCAGAAAGAGACCTCTATGGGCCACAGCAGAGGAAGGGTCAGCGGGAACAGATCAGGGACAGAGAGGCCGGCCAGGGGGTGCCACACAGCCCTGTGAGCAATAAGGAAGCCGGTCTCCGAATCTAGCCTCCGAACATTCCTTGTGGTGCGCCTGGAGGCTGGCCTGAGGGGGTTCCCACTGAAACTCGCTCCAGGAGGGCAAAGGGAGCACATCTCTTCAGCTGATTAATAGTGACTGCCCGGAGCGTTGTCAGGAGCTCCAGCCCGGGAGAAGAGCCACACTGACAGGTGATGTCTGCCGTGCGGGCGGCACGGGGTGTGGCAGCGGTCATTCATTCATCCACACCCAGTCAAGAGCTGTCCACCGGCTCCGTGCCGGGCCCCTGCGCTCCGAGGCGGTCCTCTGCGGGCGCTCAGGTCCCTCAGCTGCAGAAAGAGCAAACAGCCCCAAGCCCAGGCTCTACTCTGCTCTAGACCTTCTCCCTCGGAGCCTCTTGAAGGTTTTGGAAAAGGCCTGTGTCCCATTCTCTCAGGGTCTTGAACAAATTAGCTGCTTGGTAGTTATTTGTGGAAGGAGGAAAAGAAATGCGTGAATCACCATATTTTCCACTTTTTATTCATTTAACAGAGAAACCAATATATACATTTTGCAAGGCCTTTTCGAGGATTTGGAAATGAATTAGACCCAATCTTTGCCCTCTAGGAATTCATAGCACCATCTGGAGGTTGTGCTATGGAGACATGTGCCCAAATATCTGTAAAACCAGGTCATTGTGGGTAAATCCAAGTTCCTTGCAGGTGCCTGGCTTCAGGAAGGCAGACAGAGCTTGTCTGGGGCCCGGGGTCTCAGAGGGGAGACCAGTGCCAAGGTGAGAACCAAGATGGGGGTGGGTAGCGGAGGATGAAGCCAGCTGCCCTTCCCCCCATGCCCCCCAGGGAGGGCCCCCTCCATGCCTCCCTGTCCCCCTGGAGCCTGGAGACAGACCACAGCTGAGCAGGAGGGGCGACAGCAAGAGGTCAGAGTGAAAATGGCAGTACAAATCCCCTTCGAGGAAACACTTAGAGACGTCCAAGTCTTGTTCTGTCATTGGGCCACTGGCGAGGACTTTGTCACTCAGAAAACAGCATGGCAAGAAGGAGGCAAGTGCCGTACCCAGACCCCCAGCTGGCCTCCCATGGCTGACCACAGCACAGCGCTGGCCTCCGCCTAACGAGCGGCGCCCACATCACTGCCCCGGACCGTGGCCACGAAGGGCCTCTGTTCCTCCAGCTCCTGTCTCAGTCCCCACACACAGTCACCCAGTTCCCCAGCCCTGGGTCCTGCCCCTCCTCCTCACTGGCTGGTGAGGAAGGGGAGAGGGGAGAGGGTGGGGTAAAAGGGAAAGGACAGCCCAGGGCCTTGGAGGACTTGGGGTGGTAGAGGGAGGGGAGGAGGAGGTCTCAGGCCGGAGTGGCGGGCCACAAGGCCCCAAGGGAGTATGGAGCCCACCCGGGGCCCTGGCCAAGCTGTGAGCCCAGATGGGGGCCCAGGGGCTTGTGGACCGCCCTCCCCAGAACTTCAGCCTCTCTTCTGGGATGGTCCGAGGCCGGAACCAGGAAGCAGTGCAGCCTCCGTGCCCCGAATTTTTGAAGAGCCTTGTGGAGCTCAGTGGAGCTGCAAGCTCCGCGTCCTGGAGCCGTGCTCTGGAGTTTTTGTCCTGCGGAGAGCAGGGAGCACGCGGGCTGCACGAACCGGGCACGCACACAGAGGTACACGCGCAGACGTGTGTGTTCACACTCACGCAGGTGCCCTGGGTCCTTCTGCAGCTGGTGACTGATGAGCCATCCCAGGCACATGGGGCCGCGGGACCCAGAGCAAACAACAAAGCAGGAGGGGGTGCCACACACAAGCCTGCAGGGGCTCCGTGACCAAAACCCTCCGCTGGACCGGGACATGAAGAGGGTGGCTCTTCATAATTTTTATTTGGGCCAGGGTCTTCTTGAATGGTTGCTTATGTAAAACCGTCTAAAAGACTGTCGAGGAAATCTGAATCTATCTCAAACCGATTTCCCTTCCCTGGGAATACATGCAAGTGCATCTATGGGTGTGCATGTGTACACGAGAAGGAATGTGTTTGTGTGTGTGCGTGCAAAAACACAAACTGCCGTGCTGGTGGGGAAGCTGGAAAAAGAAAGAAAAGCATAGACTTTTGATCATTCCTCTGCATACGTGTGTGGGCATGTGCACACAAAGCCGTAAACACACACACATCCATCCAGCCGCATCTTTGGCCCAGTCTGCATCCCGTATCAGTGATTCTAAGCTGCTTTTATGTCCGAGAGCTGACCACTTAAACCAGTAGCTCTCAGCCTTGCTGGCACATTGGAATCACTTAGGGAGTTTTTAAAAATCCCAGTGTCCAGGGAACACTCCAGACCAATACATCAGAATTTCTGGAGATGGGACTTTGGCATAAATACTTCATATCAATATTTAATCATCTCCTTAGGTGATTCCAATGTCCTGCCAGGGCTAAGTATTCCTATGCATAGAAAGCCCTTCTCTCATTCCTCTGCACAGAAAACTTCTATTCATCCTTCAAGACCCAACTCCCATGGCCCCTTTGGAGGAAAGCTCTTCCTGACACCTGCCTAGGGAGAATTAGTTTTTTTCTTTCCTGAAGTTCCCAACAACATCTTAGACAACTGACTGCATCATAATTATTTGCTTGTCTGTACAGAACCATGACCTCTGTGAAGATAGGTGCTGTGTGAGATCCATCTCTCTATTGCCAACAACTAGCTTGATGTCTGATATGCAGCTGATGATCCACAGATGCTTCAGACTGAAAGGGAAGTACGTAATGAAGGCCAGGAACAAGAGAGGGGTGGGGAGTGGAGGCCATGCGTTGTTTCTGAGTGGGAAGGCCATAGGTCTGGTCCCCTGGCAGCACGATGGGGGTACCTCCCCACCTTTTAATAACAGAAAGGGTCCTCTTATGTCAATAAGCCTGATGCTCATTGGTCCACATTTCCTGTTTCCCTAGGAAGTGCCACAGGTATTACTCAGAAATTCAGAGAGACAAGTGAGTGGGGTTGTGACCTGTGCCTGGAGTCCTAGGTGACCAACCTTTCTATTCTTTTTAGATTTATTTAAAGAGAGAGAGAGTGTGTGTGAGCAGTGGGAAGGGCGGGGGGGTGGGGAGAGAGAGAGAATCCTCAAGCAGACTCCCTGCTGAGCACGGAGCCCAACTCGGGGCTTAATTCCAGGGTCCTGAGGTCATGACCTGAGCAGAAATCAAGAGCCGGCTGTTTCACCAGCTGAGCCACCCATGCGCCCCCAGGTGACCAACCTTTCTTAAGCGTCCCCTTGTTGCCCCCATCCCAAGCCCGCTCTGTCTGGCTGGCTTCCAGGGCACCTTTGCTCTAAGGAGTGCTCTGAGCCATCCAGATCCCCTGCTTCTGTCCCAGATCCAGGCCCGCCCAACAACCTGGTCCTGGGCAAAGGGCTGTGCCTGGGAAACATTAGTGCAAGGGGAGGAGGCTCCTGTCTGCCAGCTGGGCCTGCAGACCCTCCAGCCCCAGCCCAGGAGCCTGAGGAGCAGACAAGAGAGGGCATCCCTGGGCTGAATGAAGTGAGTGAGGTCTGAAGTGGAAAGAGCTCCTCACGTTTCTGACCAGGCCTCCTGGTCACTAGTCCAGGCTGAGGTCATGGTGAGGGCCCCCTACCCCCTGACACACACAGATGCACACACTCACACGCTGCCCACTTCCTGAAGGGTTCTCGACCTCTAGGCCGAGACCAGCCTCTCCCCTCCCGCACAACTGGCCCTCAACTGACCAGCCAAGGTCCTGGTTACCCACAGAGTCCATTCAACACGAGCAAGTGTTTTCTTTACATGTTGGGGCTTTTACTTCAATTTGAAGCAGATGGTTGAGCACAGATGTGAACAGCTTTGGCCTTTTGAGCACAAGGAAGGAACAGGCCTTGGCTTTGAACATGCCCCCCGGCCCGCACCTTCCCCAACTTACTGACCCGTTCCCCTGGTCCCTTCCTCCCCTCTGTCCCTCTGCATAACTGGGAATAGACTACTGGCCTTCATGCAGGGAACCATCTTGTTTTCCCAGCCAGGAGGGTGGACCACAGGCAAGGAGTGGCTGGCTGGGCTGGCTGGGGAACAAAGACCCTTTAGGTGACCCTGGTGGGGCAAGTCCCTGGGGTGGGGTACAGGATGGTCAATATTGCTTCTTTCCTCCCCCTTCCTCCCTTGCCTTGATGCTCAGAGCCCAAGGAGCCTGGACCCAAGGAACACTGAGAATCAGGGTCAGAGGCCTGGGCAGCCAGTGGGAGGGCAAGAAGAGGGCCAGGATCTCATATCCCACTCTGTACAAGCACCCCCAGCCCTCTCTCGCCACCCCCAGAAAGTTTATCTTGTACCCAGCCAGCTCAGGGCCCAATGTAGAAAGAGAGTTCCAGGTCAGAGGGTCGAGCACTTCCATGGTCACCAAATGTCCATCCCTTCCATGAGTTTCCAGCGGGACTGCTGACTCGTCTTTGGCTTGGGATGGCTTTGGCAATGGGAGGAGCCAAAGTCATAGAGCAATGGTGTGGCTTCTCACTGTGGGCTGTTATCACCACAATTTGTTCAGTGTCTCTGTGGAATCTTTGGCAATGAATTTCTGCAGCCCTGGGCAAGGGGGAGGCTTTGCTCTCCCCTCCCCACCAGGCAGAGGGCAAAGTGCGGAGTCACCGGAGTGGCTGAGAGGGGACAGGAGGGTGCGAGGGAGGCAGATGTGCCCCTGCACCCTGACAGGCAGTGGTCTGAGCATCTGGCGGCATCTTGGAGAAGAAGACAAGGCTGGATTTGGAGAGCTCACCTTCTCCTTGGGCTTGACCAGAAAGAGGGCCCACAGCAGCATCCTTGGCCTAGACTGGGGCCAGTCACTCCTGAAAGAAACAACCAACAGTCAGAAGAAACCCTACTCTCCCGACTCCCGTATCCTAAAGGCCAACTGGTCCCGTGTGCTGGCACCCTCAGCACCTCCTCTCGTTTACTCCTTGCTGCTGTCCCAGGAGGGACCGGTGTGGCCCAGGCAGGGAACTGCATCTTGATGGGCTCAGTAAGTGACGGCGCCAGCATCTGAACCCAGGACCGGCTGCCCCCAGGGCCCAGCCTGTCCCCTGACTCCGCACCCTGCATTTGAGAGCCATTGCTGATTTTGCCGGTTTGGGGAAACGGGCAGGGCTGCAGGGGCTAGAGGGAGCTCAGGGATACCTAGTGCTGCTGATCACACCATCCTCCGGGTCACACCCCATGGGAATGGCCATCCGCAGCTCCTTTTCCCTCCTGTTCAGACAAGAGCACTATACCTGGAGTCACGGGGCCAACTCGAGGTGCTGCCCATCTACCCACCACCTGGGGGTCCCTGAGACAAGTCACTTGACTTCTCTGGGCCTCGGCGTTCTCATCTATAAAATGACACAGCTGGACCAGGTCAATAATTGTCGAACTTTCTTTTAAGCGGTAGAAATAAAGTCTGACCTGGGCAGCCCTACACAGAAAACAGAGAAACATGGTCTGGTGTGTTTGGAGCAGTAGGGTGGGGGGACACAGGGCAAGGGGGTTGCAGGGTGCATTCCCTCCAATGTGAGGCTTGGGACGTCTCTGGAAACCCAGGGTGCTAAGGAGCACAGTTTGGAAACCACAGAGGTTAGACCATCTCTAAGGGCCTCACCGTGCTGACCTCTGGAACCTTCGCTCTGGCAGCTGGACTTGCAGTTGCTCCTGAGAACAGTGACCACAGGGTGTGACTTGCTACCAGGAAGGGGCAGGAGATGGGGCAGGGTCACAGGGGCTGCTGGGACCTTAGGAGCTGTCGGGGAGGGTCTGCGAGGACACGTCCTCCCAGAACAGGCCAGAGTAATGGCAGTGCCTTAACCTGGTACAGCCCACTCCTACTGAAGCAGCTCCAGGTACCGCTTCTCTGTGATTCCCGCGACCACCCCGAACAAACAGCTAAGTTGCATGTTTCTGAAGCAAAACCTCTGCGGGGCACCTCTGCCACTCCCGGGGGCTTGCTCGCATCCCCCATCTCAGAGGTGAGCTACCGCCCCCGTTTGGAGGAGGCGCGGGAAGCTGGCCACAGCAGGATCTGAATCCCGATCGACAGTGTTTATTCTACCACAGAGAAGCCGCTCCGGCTCAGCTGCAGGCTTGGGGGGCCGGGCCGCCGCCAAACCACGGTTCTGGAGGGCCTGCCGACCGCAGGCCCCGGGGAGCCTCGCAGGCCTGGGGGGCTGGGCTTGGCCGGCGGCAGGGCTGGAGGGGGGGGTCCGAGGAGGAGCGGGGTTCGCCCAGCTAACAGAGGCTGAGGAGGGAGGAAGGAACGCGGGAGGTGGGAGCATCCTGATGCGCCGCGTCCAGGCTCACCTCCCCTGAGCCGGCCGTGCGGTGCGCGGCTGGCCCCGGCAGGAATCTGCTTCCTGGGACCGAGTCTGAGGAGGAGGATTAAGAGGCGGGAAGGAAACCCATGGGGAGGGCACGGGGCCTGTGGTCCAGGGGTGATTTACAGCCCGCGTCAGCCGGGCGCTGGCTGCCTGGGCGGGCCCTCTCCGTCCGCCCGCCTGCGGTCTGGGGGAAGGCGCAGGAAGCTGGCTCGGCCGGCGGCCCGGGCTGTCCTACTGGCCACTCCTGCAAGGCGCCTGTCCCAAGCCCTCTATTGGCTCTCGGACCCTGCGGAAGCCATGACTACCACCCAAGAGCAACCAAGAGCAATGGAGCCGGTTCCTCTCCCCAAAGCCTGACCTTCAGTGCCCCATCCCGCCCTTTCCCTGGTGTCTACGCTGGACCTGGGCTCCCACCGCCCACCTCCATGCAGGAATCCCAGCACATGCACCAACCAACCAAGGAAGTCTTACATCAAATGGGGCATGGGGGGAAGAATACTAGGTGGTCTTAGGTGCCAGGACCTCCTCTGAGATTAACCTGCTTTGTGACCTTGGGGAACTTACCCTCCCTCTCTGTGCTTTAATTCCTTCACTTATACAGCAAGTGTAAGTACATATACATGGACACGCACTCTCCCCAAAGGGTCTGCTGTAGAATACTAGACGGGTGAGGTACAGCCCATAAGTCTGGGAAACACCACAGACCTTGGCCCCATCTTGGAAAGTCACTACATATATTAAAGCATATTAAAGGCTCTAAAAAGTCCTGCAGTAAAGAAATTTGCCTGGCTTTATTTACCCACTATCTGCTGAATTCATTTGATTCTGTGATCACAACTGCACCTCGAGGCAATCTGTGGCCCTTCCCTGGACTTCAAGTATCTGCTTCTTTTCTGCCTCAGCATCCGAACCCAAATGCCCAGTGGGGGCAGCAGGTTGGTCCAGCCTCAGTCAGATTTCTTCCATAGACCAGCTATGCTTGGGGTATAGGAGACAAACCCACGGATGCCCCTTCAAAAGGGGCAGGGTGTGTGTGTGTGTGTGTGTGTGTGTGTTAATTACAGGCAGGTAATTACAAATACAGAGGAGATGGCTGGCAAATACTCCCCACTGTGACAACCATACCACAGACCCCTTCGCAGAGGAGGAGGAGGTCCTGGCACCTAAGACCACCTAGTATTCTTCCCCCCATGCCCCATTTGACGTAAGACTTCCTTGGTTGGTTGGTGCATGTGCTGGGATTCCTGCATGGAGGTGGGCAGTGGGAGCCCACCCATACCATAGACCCCTTCCACAGCTGGGAAAGGCTCTTGGCTCACTGCTCTAAAGAGCCCCCTAAGTCCCAGCCCCATCCCAGAGTCTGCCATGAAAATAAACTTTGAACGTGACTAGACAAGATGGCCTCTCAGGTCCCTTTCCGTGGTTCTGACGTGTTGAGTTCGATGGAGGGGATTTGGTCAGTGTGGCAAAGTGGTTGAGTTTATCACATTTAGAAATCATCTTTTGATCTGTCCATTCATTTGTGGCCAGAACATCAGCTCCACGAGGACAGGGACATGGTCTGTTTTGTTTGCTGATGAAGCCCCGGAGCCTAGAACCATCCGGATGCATAGGAGCACCTCGATAAATATTAGTTGAACAAGTGAATAAATATTTCCAGTCACAGGCATTTTATTTACTATAACTTTTATATACCACGGAATATGTTTCCCGTTTCAAATGTAACTTAGTGTTTTTGTAAATATGCCTACGCTTCAGGGAAACTTTGGGTAATTGTTATGAAACCTGTAACAGGGCTACACCTTTTTCACTTTTGTTCATTTCCCATTTTTTTTTATTTCTAATTATACCTCCTCTGCTTACTAAGTTTTTCTCTGGCTTTACGAGGACTGGCTTCCTCTCTCAATCACTTCTGTGTACTACAGTGCAATTTTACCACTTTAGGGGCATTTGAAAAAATGACTCTATCTGCCATCTCAGGTGTTTTACCTTTTAAATTCATTTTCAGTTTTTGATTTTCATATTCATTTTCAGTCCACTCTACCTACTTAACCATTTTTCACTATTTTCGAATTATCCTTTTTTTTCTATTTTAGCAATTTGGATATATTCTTCCAGATGCAGAAAAAGATCCAATGGAATGGAAATCCTGACAGTTTGTTTGTTTGTTTCTCCTAAAAAGAAGTCAGATTTCAAATGTTATTTTAAAACAAAACTATGAAAGACAAGCAGGGAGGGCACCTGGGTGGCTCAGTCGTTAAGCGTCTGCCTTCAGCTCAGGTCATGATCCCAGGGTCTTGGGATCTAGTCCCACATCAGGCTCCCTGCTCGGCGGAGAGCCTGCTTCTCCCTCTCCCTCTGCCTGCCGCTCCCCCTGCTTGTGCTCTCTCTCTCTCTGTCAAATAAATAAATAAAATCTTAAAAAAAAAAAAAAAAGACAAGCAGGGACGACGTGGGAGATGTATTTTCAAGACCCACACTATTAGGTATTATTTTATCTTTCACTTCTCAGTGCACCAACATGTGGGCTGGGAAGGGCCTTTGTGTTTGGTTGCAAATGCAGAACTGTGAGGTCCACTGTGGCCCCAAAGTCAGCAGGCCACAGGGCCCTGGACAGGCGGGCTCATCTCTCCATGCCTCAATTTCTCCATCTTTAAAGAGGACACAGTAATAGTACCTGCCTTCCAGGCCAGTTGCCAAGAGTCATTGAGACAAAGGAGCCATGGCCCTGGCAGGGCCTGGCACACCGTGCAGGCACGGGAAGGTGCTGGCTCACATCCCTGCAAAAAGCTGGGTCCTCCCTTTGACGAACGGGTGTCCGAAAATATAAAAATGGCATCATAGTCTGAAAAGTCTCAAGTAATCAGAAGTAGTCACATTGAACCAACTGTCATATTGACCAATTTGGTTTTGATGGATTTTAAAAAAAATAGACACAATTTCTAAAATGACATAAGGCATGTCCATCACCTCATGACTGGATAACCAAAGTATGGTGTACCCATATAATGGAATATTATTCGGCCAGAACAAGGACGGAGGTACTAAAACATGCTAGAACACGATGAACCCCAAAAGCAGTGTGCTAAGTGAAAGAAGCCAGTCACAAAAGGCCACATGTTCTAGGATTCCATTCACATGAAGTGTCCAGAGGGGGGAAACCCACAGACTAGCGGCTCCCTGGGGGCAGGGGGCAGGGAGGACTTTGGGGTAGGAAGGGAGAACTAAAGCATACGGGGTGTCTTTCTCGCCTGAGAAGAAAGTTCTAAAATGCACTGCGGTGATGGTTGCACATAGCTGCGAAAATACGAGAAACCACTCAGGGGTACACTTCCAGTGGGTGAACTAACGTCATCTCAGTCAAGCAGTTAAGTTTTAAAAAAATTACGTAGGTAGTACATGCTAATTACAGAAAGTGTAGGAAGTACAGAAGAGTGGACAGAAGGGAAAAATTTCAGTCACTTCAATCTCCCCCCTGGGAACGTGGGGTGACTACCGTT